TAGGAAAATTATTCTAAATTCTTTATATATAATTATCTCTGTGCTTTAAATAACAGACTAAGATTTGCTTTTATCTGAGGTTTAGTTTTAACAATGATAAAGATATAACTTCATACCTAAGAATAATGCACTTCACATCTAAAATGCTGACATAATTCCAATTAAATTAGTAACACTGTTATTGTGATGCTATAAAGCTATAAAAATGTCTATACAAGCAGAAAAAAAAAAACCATTGTGACAATATATCTTATCACACTGAACGCTTAATTCAAAGTGTCTCTGCTATTACAAAAACTATGGGTATGCATCCGTGTATGTGTGTGCGAAACAGAAATAAGCATTTGTTGACATATTATGGCTTTCTTTTGTTAAACATTTTTTATTGCAGTAACATACCCGCACAATTGCAGTAACGTCACCATACAGATATCACATGCTGGAGCATGACAATGCAATGCTAATTGCACATTGTGTTGACATTTCGAGCATATTCTCTGTAACAACATTTGCATTCATATACAGGTAATAAAGCACATGGAGATAATTTGAGTCATGATTCATGTTAGCAAATGTATTGCTTTCAAACTAATCTTCAGAAACAGAATCTTTAGCCAGTCCATTAGTATTCAAATGTTGTTGAAAATAAGGTAGTTACTGAATGAACTAAACAGTTTAGGACCAAGAATTGTTGTTAAGCTTTGACAGATAAATATCAGCACTATTTGATTATTTTGTAAGGCAAGCCTTCTTACTAATTTAAGATGCCTTTACCAATAGCTTTCAAGTTAATAGGTGGAGATAAAATAAAAGCTTTGTATACCTTTTTAGATAATCTAGCCCAGTTAATGCAGAATGTATTAACCTGAGTAATTTTCTTTCACTATAATATATATCCATTTATGACAAGGCAAAACAATAAAAGGCACCAAAAAAGGGCAGCAGTTTCAAAGTGTACAGGAAATCCTAACACATCAATTTTTGGTTACAAGACTATTATTTATATTCATGTATCTTGCAGTACATGGACACAGACAATAAATGCTTTAGGCATAAAGTCTTTAAACCCAATTCTTCAAGATGTCAGCTAAAAAAACTGGACTTGATTCATATTTTATCTGAATTTTATTGTTATTGAGGCAAAAATACACCACCTTAAGATGCAAGAAAAAATAAACATGTGATGCAGGGTTTCTTTTTTGCTTGATTTAGTACATGTAAAGATCAAAACTTTGAAGGTAATTTAGAGCCTGAGAAGACAGAAAAAAAAGGGAACAAAACCAGTGTAAGGAATAAAATTCTCATCATGAGTGTTTCTAAATGTTTATTTATAAGTCAACATTAACTCAGCATATTAAAATAATTACTAAGAATTTTAAACTTTTAATTCTCTAATCTCATGAGAAAAACAAATTTTTAAATAACTGTCAAGTTATAGGAGCACAATTTATCAGTTATATTTTTTGTTTTAATCCTCAGAAACAAATAAGATTCCAAAGTGTAAATCAGCAATGTGGAATAGAGCATATTCTATTTTCTGTCATTCTTGAGGTATTTGCTATTATTTTTAAAGCTTATACTTTAAGAATGAACAATTGCATCACCAGAAAACAAAAAAATTGTGACTTTGTAAGCAATATTTGGAACTTTTGAAAAGATCAAGTAATGTATATATGTCTAAATTTAAAGAAAACTTGGAATTTGGTATGCTAACAAAGTACTTGAGTTCATTTTAATAAAATCTGAAATTTTAAATGTGATAATAAATGTATATACTCACATGCTTTCCAAATTAAAAACATAATTGAAATGAGGACCTTTTCCTGATTTTCAACACACCTCCATTACCTAGTTCTGATATTAGATTAAAAGATACTAGGTTTTTTTGAAATAAATTTGGACTAAGTTTCAGGAAAGAGAAAGTAGTGAAAAATGTTTATTTAAATCTAATTTAGATACTTGATAAAATTTGTGTGGATCTTTGCACTTGATAAGCATATTTCCATATCTGATTCTGTTACACACTGTCTCCTTATATTCAAGGTAAGCAAAATATTAGCAAGGTAAAATTTGTTGCTAATAAAGTATGGATCCGAATTAGCTTCTTTGAGCGATTCCATACAGCAAACACTATCTAATCTATAACAGTGGATTATTCAAGTGAAAACTAAGTTTGCAATTGAACACTGTGCTTGTGGGTGACGACTTCAAATGAGAAGGTTGTTTCTTAGACAATTCTAGAAGTCTTTTCAATCTCCCACAGTTCTGCAAGGCATTCTAATCCTAAGTGTACAAAAGTAGCAAGCATGAGCTTTTCTGTGACAGAAACTATGCTTTCGTTGTTAAGTAAATTAAATTCCTTATTTAAACCCCTGCTAAGACTGAGTAGCTTCTGGAGTTTTTCAGACAAAGCTATTTTCTCTCTTCTAAGGGAGAGTCAGGCACGTGCTATTACTTATGTTGATATGTTTTAACCTTATGAATAAAAAGTTTATAGTAAAAACAAAAGAATATTTTATACTTCCGAAACTTTCCTATGGCCTCTTGAGAGTTCTATAGTGCATTGCATCTTCTCTTCCTAGTTGCTCATTAGGGTGTAGCACTGTAAGAGCCATGGTCCAAAGCACACTAGGCAGTATATACAAATAATGAGCACATGGCTTTTATTCACAAATTCATCATCTCAAGTTACATCAGTCTATATTGATAGGCCAATGTGAGTAATAAAATTCTGGCACGCAATATAAGGACAGACACTTAAACAGCTATAGAAACGACACCTGCTCAGCAATTACCCGGGCAGTTCCATACATCTAAATCTATTCTTAATGCTTAAAAATGTGAATGTGTATTTGTGAGAGACAGACAGCGAGAGAGATTTTCTGAGGAGGAAGTATTTCTGCATAGTATTTGGTATTGTCATTTTTGTTTTGAATAAAACTTTTACTCTTCTACCACTAACAATGAACATTCCAAAGGATATACTCTAGTAAATTAATTAGCTATCAGTGATTTAAGCTAACGCATGTGACTGGCCAACAAATGGACCTACATCAAACACTAGATACCTCAATTCATGTTTCCACTATGGCCAAAACATGAATTTAAAAGAAAAATGACTAAAAATATTTCATAAAATGCTTTCCTTATTGATCATTCGTACAGTGATTTTATAACATTTTGCATTTGCATTGTTTGCTCTAAGAAATCTAAGACATATTTAAGGATTCACAAAATGGAATCAGAGGCCTGAACAATGGCTCAACATGCTAATCCTCTACCTACAAGCTCCAGGATTCCATATCCTACCAGTTTGGGTCCTGGCTATTCCACTTCCATTCCAGCCCCCTGTTTATGGCTTAGGAAAATAGTGGAGGACAGCCCAAATCCTTGGGCCCCTATACTCATGTGGGAAACCCAGAAGAAGCTCCTGGATTCTGGTTTGGAATCAGCTCAGCTCTGGCCCTTGTGGTCATTTGGGGAACAAACCAGTGGTTGGAAGAATTTTTTGTCTCTCCTTCTGTCAATCTGCCTTCCCAATAAAAACAAACATTTTAAAAAACAGAATCATGAACACTACAGTGTAATCTTCTCCATTCTTTCCGACATCTTATTCTCCCCTTCCACAAACACTAATGCAAATTCTTCAGAAAACATCCAGCCAGGAAAAATATCCTCTGAAATGAAAGTGTTTGGAAACCAAGAATCTAGTAACTAACAATAATTTAGGAAAGAAATTGAGTTATTTTAGCCTAAAACAGTCTCAGAAGATGTCTTTAAGAGCCTACACATGTCTAACAATGTAGCCAATTATCCAGTTTGTGTTAAAGCAGGCCAGATGGCCCTTCTCAGTTCCCTCTGCTTTGCACCATTCCCTGATTTACTGAAAACAGCCTTAGGACAGCAAGAGAAGGTAAAACAGCCATAATTTTGGAAACGGTTATTTTTTTGAGAAAGCAGAATTATTGGGAGAAGTTAAAATAAATTTCTATAGACTAAATACTAGTTTTTTGGGGGTTATCAAAGTCAAAGATAGTGCTATTTCTGTTTAAGGAAAACTGAACACTAACCAGTTTTTGAATCTTAAGCAAAGTAAGGAAACAAACTGCTATGAAACATATGCATAATAACTTTCAACAGAAATAAAACATCATACTCATTTTTGATTTTAAAAACATCCTCAAGGGCACACTGATATATGCAATAACTGGAAACTTCTAGTAACAACGACTTAGTTTGGTATTTATGGTGCAGTGACAAATTAATATATTAAACTTTGCAATGTAAATTGTTCTCATCATTGACAGACTTGTCAAATAACTGGGACCCATCATGCTAAAATACTAAGTTGAATCTGAAATGCCAGCTCTTCTATTTATGTAGAACAGAAGAAATTAACTTAGCCATATATTAAGCCCATCAACGATACAATTTCCAGATAAAAATGAGTGGTCTGATATATAAAAATCATATAGAAAGATTTTGTCATTGCCATCATTTCCTCATCCTTTGTATAAAGATTACTTATGAAAAGCAGAAATAAAAGCTAGTTTACATTTTATTTTTAAGCCACCAGATTGTCTTCCTCTTAGATCACAAAGATCTTACCAGATCCTTACTGAAAATAGCCACTACTACAAGAAGTCAAATTTCCACATATGGCAATAAAAAATATTGGACAATCAGGCTGAGATTTTTCCTAGAAGTTAACAGTGTGCTACTGTAATGACAAACCCATCTTACACTTCATCCTATCATCAAGCAACTTCAGGCTTCTAATATCTTGTTTCATTTTAAATGGCTACCACATATAAGAGAATTAATAAGGTATTATGCTATTAATGCTTTTTTCAAGTCAAAAGCTGTCTTATCTAGAAAATAATTTAACATTGTAATGGGATTTTCAAGATTAATTCTGTTTTATACACTCTGCAGCAAAAATAACATTTCTAGTAGGAAGGAATTAATTATAAACCTAGCAAATTCTAGACATTCACATATTTGTGTAAACAATTTTAATATGGTTTATTTCCAGAAAGGTTAAGTCTTCAGTTTTCTGCTAATTCTTCTTTCAAATATTATAATAAATATATATGTAATTTGAGTGTATGTGTATATATTCTCACATATATTTAAATTATATGTACATAAAACAGCACTTAATGGTCACTTTTCTTTGCATGTTCCACTTAAGGAAAAAAACGAATTGCTATTTATGCATAACCCATGGCGATCTTCCCTTCTGCTTCACAAATGGCCATATCGGGATGTAAACAAAACATTGGAGCGAGTCATTCCAGGTGAATTGTATTTCAGGTTGAAAGTTGGTGTTCTCATGAAGAACTGGGTACTTCCTGGTAGCAAGTACCTAAAAGTGACAGTTCAAAAATTAGACTATTACAAACAAATTAGTCTTAATGTATCTGACTTAAGTGATTAGTAATTTACATACTTATCCTACACAAAAATGTTACCAAGAAACCAAAGCAATTCATATACAAAGATTTCCTATTTTAGTTTGAAGGCAGGAGGAGAAAAGAGAATCATATAACCTCCCCTAAAAAGTTGAAAATAGATGTGACCAGAATGTTAGTACCAAAAGACATCTGTGGAGTCGCTGTACTCTATCCTACAAAACTATTTATGCGGTTCATGCTCATTTACAATTTTGCATCAGTTTCTGCTGTGGAGTCATTCAAATATTTCTTACTAGTCGATTTCTTGACTAGCTACATTTGTATTATTTGTTTTAAGAATGATGTGCTTCATTAAAAAAAAGGTAAAACAACAACTGTATTTGGATATTTTGCATTCTTATATAGTACTTATGATTATGTTATATCAAAAGCAATCATGATTATAGATCATCTGTAAGTAACCTTTGTAGTCAAGTCTATTTTGGAATACATGACGTTTCCAGGTTTTGGAAAAACAACACAGTACACATACTATGTAACACCTCCACGTGGGTCTAGGGGACAGCATCCTGTAACAGGTTGCTAACATTTCTGTAGTAAAATGTATTAATACTGAAAATATATCAGCTAGATAAAGATTATAAATAGCTTCATGTAAATGCAGGTCAAATTTGCCAATAAATATATCATTTTCTTTGGTTTTTGGTTTTATTTATAAAGGTTTAGGAATTAAGAGTTGCTAATAGGACATCATGCATCTGTATAATCTACTTGTTTGTGTAAAAAACTTTAGTTAGTATTGACATTTAACTTCTACATCTGAGGAGAAATGGTTGAGAAATCCATATAAACAAAAGCATAGGGAAATAACACTACTCAAGTGTTGATAATGATGAAGACATGCGATAAAGCAATGACCAAAATGTTTATAAATTATGGCCTGGTATGGTAGCCTAGTGGTTAAAATCCTCGCCTTGCATGTGCCAGGATCCCAAATGGACACTGGTTTGTAACCCAGCAGCTCCACTTCCAATCCAGCTCGTGCCTGTGGTCTGGGAAGGCAGTTGAGGATGGCCCAAAGCCTTGGGACCCTGCACATGTCTGGGAGACCCAGAAGAGGTTCTTGGCTCTTGGCTTTGGATCAGCGCAGCTCCAGTCACTTAGAGAGTGAATCAGCTGATGGAAGATCTTCCTCTCTACCTCTTCTCTTCTCTGTATATCTAACTTTCTAATAGAAATAAATACATCTTTTAAAAGGTTTATGAATTAAGGAATTTCTAAGCAAAAAGTAGTGACTGCGAAATTTGGAATTAGCAGTGGCCTTGGAAAAACAAACAATAGCAACATGTCAAGTTATTTACTATGTTTTCCTCATGAGATAATAAAATCTACAAGTGAAAATATTGCATTTTCATAAATGTGTGAAATTATGTGAAAATTTTAAAATATATGATAAATATTTTCAGAAATGTCTGGCTAAAGTCGGGTCCAATGATATTATATCTACCTATCTATGTTAAGTCACTCTGACAGCTATGATACTTCCATGTTAATGTGAAATTATACTTACAGGTGTGTTTTATAAGTCTTGCAAGGAAGAAAATGAATTCACTATAGTCAAACTGCAAACAGTATTCAGTTTAAAATGGCAGAATTTTCCATAATTTTCATAAACATCATCTCTGTCATGAATTATCTAATAACATCCTCTAAATCTATTACCTAATATCACAAACCATAAATAATTGCTCAAATCATTAAGGTAATAGAGCAGTAAAGCAATATACAACAAACCAAACTAAATCAAAATTGTATAAAAGGTGATGAATAATGAAACAACTGATTTCTCACATCACAGATTATATAAATTATCTTCTTAATATTTGAGTAATTTATATGGATCAATTATGAAGTCAAGAACTGGTGAAGTCATGATGGAACTTCATTTCAAGATGCATCTTAATTATACCAACAAGTGAAAGTAAACAACAACTCCTAACAGTTTTCTTTCAAAGAATGTCCAAACAATAATAATCATTGACATTTCAATAACTGTCACATAAATTTTTGAGTTCAAGATCTCCATTTCACACCTGAAAAAATAAAAGCACAGGGTCCAGGATCACAGCTAAATTATGCTATTTAAATAATGTTTTCACTGTCCTAATTGCTATTCAAATATTAACTCATTTACTTCTCATATCAACTACATAGACTATTGTTAGTTCCATTTAATGGATAAATAAACTTCAGGATGCATACAGTAATCAGATGCCTTCCCCATGGTCACATTTCTGGTAAGTGACAGAACCAGGATTCGCATACCACACGAGTGCTCCTGGCAACTATCCAGTATTGACATCAGAAGCTCATGTAGATGCTTATAGAAGTCAAAATCTAAAACTAATAAGTAAAATTGCTGGATTTAAATTTTCAGATATATGAAATATCCAATAACCTAGCAAGTGAGAAACACAAATTCCATAATATTAGTCTTTAAGGAAACAGAAAAAGTTTAAAAATGAAAATTCTTTTAATATTTCAAAAGAAAAAGTTCAATATCAACTAAAAAAAAGGCATATGAAATCACATTGGCAAGAACACTTTGCTTTTCTGAAGAATGAACTGTGAGATATTTTTAAGCATTATGGGGAAACAGAATGGATTGTTTGACTAAGCATCTTCACCAATAACTCTTGGGAGATCCTACACTAGCAGAACATCAAAGATTATTTTTGAAGTGTTCTTTGAAATAAATTAAATAGCATAATGCCATTCTTTAAGCAGTAAGACTATTTCAATGAAGTGGATTTTTAGAATATATCTAACAACTGTTTGCAAAACAGCAAAAAATATGAACAGCTTATAGGTTTATTTTTCCCAGATTATTTCGTGTTTTATTTATTTACTTTACCTTTTGGAAAATGTATTTTATTTTTATTTGACAGAGAGAAAGACAAGAACAAAGAGATCTCCCATTTGCTGATTCACTTCCCAAATGCCTGCATCAGCTAGGAGCTTACCAGGTCATACTAGGATCTCATATCTCACATGGGCCTCCCACAGGTGCCAGGAACCCACGTTCTTGAGCCACAGCCTTCTGCCTCCCTGCAATGTACATTAGCAGGGAGCTGGATGAGAAATGACGAACTGGGACTTCAGAGCAGACACGCTGATATGGGATGCCAGCGGACCTGTGCAGTAACTGAACTCAGCACCAAGTGTCCACCAAGATTTAGCTTATTCTTGATGTGCAAAATATCTGTTACCAAGGAGAAATGCCTCAGATTGTATTTTCGGTTGCTTTACACACATGCCCCATCTCACATTTTTTACCTTTCCCAGTTGCTGTTAAACTACTGCTTGTGATGCCAGTAACTCATTTTAGAGTGCTGGTTCATGTCTTGGATGTTGCACTTTCAATTTAACTTGGCTTGGTAAAGCAGAAGATTGACCAAATTCTAGGTTCCTGCCACACAAGTAGGTGACCTGGAAAAAAACTGCTGGCTTTTGGTTTTGCCTTGGTCACATGGTGGCCATTCTGGACATTTTAGGAGTGAACCAGCAGATGGAAGTTATCTTTGTCTAAATCTGTCTCTTTCCCTCTCTCTTTGTGTCACTCTGTCTTTCAAATAATAAAAAGAACATGCATTTGTTTAATGATGATTAATTGGTCTTTTATGTGCCATCATGGTATTAGCTGTCCATAGAGGATTTCTGCAATATAGAATATTTCACCAATGGTAGGGAACTAATCTTGAAAAATCTGAGCTATATCCTTTCTGGTATCATTCTAGAATATCAGTAGGACTCTGATCCCCATCCACAAAACAAACTCATTGTCCTAGTCTGTGGTTTCTTAAATTAACATAGTAAAATATACACAATCTGATTTGTTTTAATATTTTAAGTATACAATTCAGATTATTAAGTACATTCACAATATTTTCACCATCCTAAAAGGAAACTCCACACTCAGCATTCTATTTATATACCATATTTTATCCATTCACCTATTGATGTACACTTCCACTATTTGCATCTTTGGCTAGTTTAAATGGCTTTGCTATGAACATTAGTATAAAATGTCTCTCTGACTCCTTGTTTTCAGTTCTTCTGAGTATACACCTAATAGTGGAGTAACTCTATATTTCAATTTTTAAAGAAATTATTAAATGTTTTTTCTACAACTGCCCTTACCAGCAACATACAAGCGCTCCAACTTCTCAACGTTACCATCACATTAATTTATAGCTAGGACAATATCCTAGTAGAAGTGCCTTGTTCTGTGAAAATAACTGTAAATTGATGTAGGTGGGATATCCTGGTTTCAAACTCCACTTTTGCAATTTATTACTAAGGTGAATTTGTGTAAACCATTTAACCTCTTTAAATCTGTTTTCTCAATGTGAAAAAACTTAATGACTCACTCATAAAGAATTAACAAATAGTGTGCAAGAGTAAATTGTATTTACAATCTATACATTGTGAACATCAGCCTCACTAGCAAGACTAACCCTGCTTTGAAACAAATATGTCAAATTTTATAACATAAATGGCAGTATGTATTTAACAACTTGATGTTTAAAACTTTTCAATAAGGTCCTTGGTACACGGTCCAAATATGTCTGCAAGTTTACTGGGAACTGAATGCTGTGAAAAGGCAGATTTCAGTAAAAAGCAACAACGTCTATGTAAAAGGCAAAATTTTTCGCTATCACTTGAAGTGCAAGAAAATTCCTATTACTCTACATTTTCACCAATTCAGGTATGCAGTGTTTTTATACGATTTTGCATTTGCCTGATTAATAATTAATTTAAACTCTTTTTAAAAGGTTTATTGATCTTTCCAATTTTCTTTCCCATTTTTCTTAGAAATCTGTAGGACCTCATATGCAATCTGTGTCAGGATGTTTACAGATTATATTGGATTGCAAAAATAGCTTCTTCC